TTGCTGCACCCTTGGATGCTCTGAGATGTCGAACAGACACTTTCACATTGAATGAAGACCAGTTACTATCTTTTAATGCCTTAAAGCCCTTGCTTACTCATGCACCAGTATTATCCTTCCCCAATTTTAATCACCCGTTCTACGTCGCGACGGATGCATCTGATGTTGGGATTGGTGCTGTACTGTATCAATTACCCCGAGGCATAAATCATCCGAAAGATATAAATTATATCTCATTCATGGCACGATCACTACATCAAAGCGAACGAAAATACAGCGCAACAAAGAAGGAACTCCTGGCCATTGTCTTTGCTCTTAACAAATTCCACTACTATTTATGGGGTAGACATTTCGATCTGTACACAGATCATCGTGCATTAATGTTTATTCATTCTCAACCTGATATGAATGCCATGATGACTAATTGGCAGGACGTAATATTACGATATTCATTTACGGTGCATTACCGACCAGAAGTACTCAATGTTCTACCTGATGCTTTATCACGTCTATTCCCAGCACGCATGACTCTAAGACAACAAGCACTAGATGTGCATAATGAACCTATGTTAGCATACATCCATGCTATTCAAGATTCTGACAATCCACGAAACATTGTACCCGAAGTAAAACGGCGAGATGTCATGTACCGCGCTCATGCGATGGGCCACATCGGCACTAATGCTATGGTTAAATCTATCCATTCTGATGGCAAAACATGGCCACATCTAGCAAAAGGCTGTACTGATTTATCAAACGATGTCAATCATGCCAACGTATGAATATTGCGAAAAAGGGTTACCACCCACTGAAAGCCATTCATGCCCAATTACCAGGAGAACATGTTGCTATTGATATAGCTGGCCCTTTCACAACATCTGAGAAGAACAACTCTTACCTGTTAATTATCGTTGACGTTTGTACCCGCTTTGTATTACTTGATGCACTACCTGATAAATCTGCTCTTACGGTTGCTACGGCGCTGTTTAAGCGATTTACAGACATCGGTTTTCCTCGGATCATTCAGTCCGATAACGGCAAAGAGTTTGTCAATGAGCTACTACGCATCATTACCTCGCGAATGTTTATTGATCACAGACTAATTACTCCTTACCATCCCCGAGGCAATGGTGTAGCTGAAAATCATGTTAAAACTGCATGCCAAATGATTAGAAAACAAATAAGACACGACAACAAACAATGGGATAATCATGTTCCGTTTGTCCAACTAAGTGCTAATACTCGTATAGTCAGCCTCCACAACTCCTCTCCTTTCTCTCTATTTTTTGCGCGCAAAGCCAATGGCTTCAGCAACTATACTGATGAAGATGGGAAACCTATGAGTCAAGAAGAGTTACTTGAAAGGCTCAAATACATGACAGAAATAGTCTTCCCTGCAATTCGACGCAAGTCTAAACGAACTCAGCAGAAAATGATAGAGCGATTTAATGCTACGGTACTTTTGAATGAGTTCCCTGACGGAGCTAAAGTCATGACTCTCGATCCAATCCGTGGTAATAAACTTACCCCACGTTATGAAGGACCCTACACTGTTGTGAACAAGAGTTCTCATGGTTCCTACATACTCAAGGATGGCACAGGTGCAATTCTGGCCAGACATTATGCTCCATCTCAATTGAAACTCGTACTTGATGACTTTGAAGACACGGACACATATGAAGTGGAAACTATAATTGATCATCGGCAAAATGCCTCGTCCCCTCATGAGTATGAATACCTCGTCAAATGGAAAAATTATCCACATGATCTCAATACATGGGAACCTGAAGAACACTTCATTGAACGACAATGTATAACTGAATATTGGGCCAATCATCACGCCTCTAAGATTGTTAATGCTAGCCCCAAACGACCTCATAATTCCCTATCAGAACCTGTTGACTCGGTGCAGAATGTGTCGCCAACGTCTGATGACCATACATCTGTCAGAAAAACCTCTCGACCTAAACGTCGACGCATGCGTCGTTAGATATATCACGACCGCCTTATTTATACCCACCTCAGTATCCATAACAGTAACAATCACAATAAGAGTAATAGCAATAACCATAAAAAAAAAAAAAAAAAAAAAAAGAAAAAAAATTTTAACAATCATACAAATCAACAATCGCAAAGCTTTATTTCTTCTCTTTACGGTTGCTATTTCTACTTGAAGTAGGACGCAGATTGTATCTCCTTGACCGTCCTACTTGCTTCTGCAAATCCTCCACCTGCTTGGTCAGATTTGCAATTATCTCTCCTTGCTCACGCACCATCTTGTAAAGAGCTACGATGTCCAAGACCATCGTGTCTACTTCCTCCAATACTTTACGGCGCTGATGATGCTGCGCACGTTCAGATTCTCCATCATCCTCCTCACCGCGCTTCCGCACACCAAGCGAAGTCCCTGTGGATGACTCGGTCACAATAGACCCACCAATCTCTAGAGACAGAGAGCGATCACGATAACGAGGATCCCCTCTCTCTCTCCAAAGTGCATGACGGTCGGCTTGTCTGAAGGCAGGATCTCTATCATCGTGCTCAAAACTATTCTCCCCACTAGTGAAAGAAAAGTGAAGTTCAACAGGTGAACTTGAAGGTGAACTTTGAGGAACAGTCTTGGAAGACATTCTGAATATGTGTATAATGGAATTGTTCACAGGAATATGAGTGTCTTGAAGTTTAGCTGAAAGTGTGAGAATGGCGAAATGAAGAATGAAGGAATGAAAACGAAATGGCAATCAATTTATGCCCACAAGCATCCATTCACATCCTTTTTCTTCAATTGCCATTAGTCATTTCAAATGGCGTGATGATCAGAACAAATGAACCAATGAATGAATGAGATTTTGGCATGCATCAAAAAAAAAAAAAAAAAAAAAAAAAAACCCAACAACAAATGTATTTTGAAAACAACACTTTATTCTGCAACTGGTTTAAAGGTTCTACACACATCTAACAACAGTGCTGCTCTTTCTTGCAAAAGCTTGCTACGAGGCGACTCTACATCAACTGACTCTAATTCAGTGAGAACCTTTCGGAGTTGTCGTTCTGACATCCCCAACGTTGACTCTTGACAACTGCTTGACGTTTCTGTCACAACTTCCGTCTCCGTTGCTACTGAAGTGACAGCAACCTGTGCATGTTGTGATGCCTTGGCTGACGCTTCTAACCGTTGCCAGTCCGCCTCCTTGACCAACATCAGGTTACGACGTCTCAGTTGCTTGAACAACGATGGCTCATGTACCCAGAATACGTCAAAATTGTCACGGCTTATAGGTCTACTGTATAAGTCAAGTTTTTGTCCTCCCTCCAGGTAAAGATACTTGCGAGGTCGCACTTCATCCCCATCCTGATAGAGTGGACTCTCTGTCCGCGCCCTGAAATTGCAGTGTTCACTCTCCAAAAAGAGCTTCTTGATCCTGCGCCCATCCCTGGTAGGACGCTCCCATGGTACATAAGAAAACACTGGGTCAGCGGGTGGACCATCAGTAGAAGGTGAAGTCTGGCGACTTGCGCTCTTATCACTTTCCAATTCCTCACGAGCGCGTTTTTTGCCAGCAACTTTGCTGGTGGAAGAAGAAGCAGTGTTGTTGGAGAAAGACATAATTCAAGCAATGCAAAGAATGATAAAATGAGATTTGAAAGCCTGTTTTGTGTTGAGAAGAGTTTGAGTGTCAACAATGTTTTAGGAATGAAGGAATGAAAAGCACAATGACCCCCAGTTGATTCTCCTCATTGCTTTTCTCATTACAACTCTCCTTCATCCTGATTCGTTCCTGACATTACAAATCTTTTCTCCACATAATCTGATCCTGGCTGATCTTTCAAACCAATCATCATTGCGAGTTATAATCGTGTCCTATAAGTGCCACTGATTTGAACCAATCATTGAACCTGATTCATGCATGTGTAAGAATCTAAAAAAAAAAAAAAAAAAAAAAAGAGAGAGAAACATGATGCTCGGATATTTGAGCAAATTATTTTGTTCCTGAAAAAAAAAAAAAAAAAAAAAAAAAAAATTTTTTTTATGCGCTTACATAAAATAAAGAACTGAGCAATCGCGATCATCCCTCGCGTCCTTTCTCAACCCGCTTGGTGCCTGGAATGTTGTGCTTTATTCCTCAATAAAAGAGAAAGTTGTTGTATATTTCAATATACAAGATAATAACGGCCCAGCTAGAAGATTAAGAAAAATACTAAAAACGTACTAGGAACACACTAGGGGAATTCCTAAAATTAATACGCTAAGAAAAGTATAATAATAATAAAGCGTCACTAGAGACGCGACAAAACACCGACATGGTTCCTGAATAATCCCATGTCGCTTCTAGATAGATATGTAGTTACTTGGTACGAGTCTCTCTACCAGAAAATGAATAAATACCCCATGGATGTGGTGTGTGGACCCACATCTTATTCTCACTTATCTTAGCTTCTGATAACTACTGTCTAAATATTTTTCACACACGAAGTATTGTTTTGGAGATGGTGGAGATGAAAATGAAAGACCCGTGCAAAGACAAGGGTGTGCTACTTTTTGTTCGGTTTTTTATTGGCTTATTATACTGTATTATACATTGCGTGTACTTAATCTTACACAATTACCATTTACCATTTACCATTGACCTTCAGAATACACGAGCGTAAAGGTGATCCTTCTGTTGAGGATGCTCCTTCTACCGAAGATAATTCCTCTGTCGAAGACAACTTTCTACCACCCGCTAGAAAAAGGTTTCACCAAGATTTCGTTTCGGGTTCCAATATTATGCAATATAGGTACCGGTCAGTTGCCATTATTGCGGTGCCTTCATGTTTATTGAAGAATGTGTGTGCAACGCAGTAGTAAAAGCCGACCAGAATTTCCTTTATGCTGTGGGAGAGGTCAAGTGGATATTCCTCCACTTAGCCTTGGTTTAACTTCTTGATGGGCAGAGCCGCAAGGTAAGTTATTCCGTTAACACATATAAGCATATAACTGCGCTCTTTCGTTCACGTCCATGGAAGTGAACCTTGATAAAGACCTTGCGAACAACCTATATGGAGTGTACAGGCTTCGTACCATTGGAAGGGTTGGTACTCTGATTGATCCTATGACGCCAACTGAAGGCGCTGCCTCTCTGTTCCTGCAGGCTCATGCTCACATTCATGACCCTGCTCAGCAAGCAAGACTCCGTAATAACCATTTCGGGGATTCCTTGATGAAGGCCTGTTGCAGTAACCACAGTAGCTCCTTGAACTACACTACCCGATAGCCCATGCGCTCAAAGATGTCAGAGAATGTGCGCACGAGGATATCATGCGGCTGAAGGTCGTCATCCGTGCTGGGCCTCAGCATGAGGGGAGAGGGCAAAGGCGAATGCAGTACAGGCCCTCTCATCAACTGGAATCGTGCTATCGATGGCTGGCGCCAGTAGTAAGGTTTCTCAGCAAGGCATCATAATTGAAAGCAGAGCCAGTGGTTTGAAAAAAACCAGTGAGGTTCATCCAGCTCACGAGAGCCTCCATAATAACCTCTTGCATCCAAAAGGCGAGGACTGGACATATAAAAAATATAAAAAATGGCCTAGGCCAGGTCAAACCTCTGCAGGGCCTCATGGTGACAGCTATGACGGTAGCGAAAACGGCCAGCTAGAGGTGGATGTAGGTGAGGGCGATGGCCGAGCTAGGAAAAGTCGAGAATACGCCAAGCTGGAGGAGTTTTACACGTACAGGCTGCAGATTCATCCTTTGAGCTCAACAGACCAGCGATTCTTCATCAGGATGAATACATGCTTGACTTATTAGTACGCTACCGACCAATACAGCAGACTGGGGGTGGATCGGCTTCAGTTCATCAGCGAATACCAGTCCAAGCTGAAGGCGGATGCATATATCGGTACAATGGGTGCAATTGAGCTGAATCTCAGACCTGAGCTATAGTTGCGGAACATTGTCTCCAAGGATGGTTTGTAAATAAGCATCCTCTCATTTACTACCGTATCTTCTAGATATTCTTCCTTATTTTGTATTTTATTTTTTGTTTATTTTACTGCTGTATACAATTTACCGGATTTTGCTTTATTGTATTTCTATATAGTTTGTAGTTTTTAAAATGGTAAAAAAGATCCCGGTCAATAAAAATGTTATAGATGGTAACGCTTTATTTTGTCTTCATAAAATTTCTAACGAGGCAAGAGCCGGCCGTGGCGAAGCCACGGTCTCCGGCTCGCTACAATTAAATAGAGGATTTAGCAACAGCAATCAAAAAAATTGTTGATCAATTTTTTGCACCTAGTTCATCTGCGAGAAATTTTCTAGAGGAGTATGTGAGAGATCATGGAGAATTACCAGTCACCACAGAGGGTGTCAAGGGTCTTCCAAGAATATCTAGAAGAGGAAAACCACTTGCTCCAATGTCAAGACCAAGTTTACTATTCCTCGATTTACCAGCATCATATCCAGATGATCTCACACCTAACCGCTTCAGATCAAACGTTATTCTCAACGCGCTGGATAATACAGCATCGCGAGATGTTCCAGTCTTTGGTGTGAGGTAATATGAAATTTATTTTTTGTTTATTTCAATAGCATTTATCGTCATATCGCGATATTAACCTTTTGATTTTATCCTGATAGTGGCTGTGGAAAGACTCGGTCAGTCATAGAAGTGCTCTGTCTGCAATGGGGATTTTATTTCAATGCTTCTGATAGAGATTTGGGAAGTGATGATTTATCCTCACTATCTGCCTCTATCCTTGATAAGACACAAGATGATGATAACAAGATATCAAACACAGAATCCAATATAAAATTCGCAAAAAGAGTAACACTCTTGTTGTTCCTCTCACGTCTTTTGATCCTCAACTTTTGCCTTTCAGTCCCAGGATGTCGTCAAACATTTCCCAGTGCGAGATGGGCAATACTCCAAGTATGTCCCAACATGTTTGAGGATGTATTCATGAGGTTATTCAAGATATTGTATGATACATTCCATGATCGCAACATATCCATAATCACCTTGACTGCGGTTACAAGAATGGAGCTTATATCAGCACGGGAACATCTCCTTGACCTTCAGTATCCAAATTTCACTAGAAAGTCAAAACTTCGGCTTGTTGTGGATGAAGCCCAAATTCTTAGTGATCAAGGCACTGATAAGTTTGATTCATCAAGCCAAGGCAAGCTGCGGCCAATGCTTTCTCCAATTTTGCATGGATTCAGGCTACCTGACCAAAGAGAGGAGCTTACTGTCATCTACTGTGGCACAGGTCTCAGTATCCAACTTTACATTGGGCCATGGGCAGTTCAGATGGTACTAAAGAAGGTGATTCACAACTATTGCCGCATCTGGATTTCAAAAGATGGAATTGCGAATTATCAATTCAATCATTCATCAATCGTATCAAGGATCAGCTACAAGATGAAGAATCAAAAAAATCAATCGATATTCTTTTACCTTCAGAGGCAGTTGATATGCTCTACCAAAGACTCACTGGCAGGTTTAGACCGGTTGTGTTGGCAATTGAGGAAATAATCAGAGCAGGACAGCCAAACAAATGGGAGAACGCCATTGATACCATTGAGAGTATGTTGTCATCTTATTAAGAGAGCACACGACCAGGCAACATAATCTCTGAACTTATTAGGACAACCAACAAAATGAAAAAACATCCAAGCGAGTTCAAGTCATGCCCTTCAATAGAGGTTATATTAGGACTTTTTCTATACCGCTGGTTTCTACTTGGAGAGAAGGAGTTTGTTCTTGATGATCAAGCACAGCTAGTCGAGGCTGCATTAGGCCGTATTAGGATGCTTGGAGGCAAAGCAAAGACTGTTCTCGATGAGCCATTTGTCCTAAAATCAGCTATCAACTATTCTAAGGAGATTGATCCACTATTTATGAGTGCTGCAGAGCAGGCAATTCTACACACAACCAATGCACAAGCACATAGATCAATGTGGGAGACAATGATGCCAGCTTTCTTTATTGAAACATTCAAAACCAAACCTCTATCTTCTTGGCCACTTTTACCCAATAACTGGATCCCAGAGCAGTTGAGTGGAGATGTCAAGATAGTGGGCTACAATGATCAGGACCCTCGTCTTGCAATAACATACAAGGATATAACACTCCAAGGCTTTTTAGATGTACATTTAAGCAATACCTCAAACCTGCACTTTGATTACACTCCACCATTTTACTTCCCTTCACCTAATGTCAGTGCACCAGATGTTGTTTTTTTGGTTCAAATCCAGAGTGTGATATACCCTGTTTTTGTTCAATCAAAATTACGCCAAGTTATTCCAAAGCCAGATGCAGATCAAGCTATAACAACAACTAGCATTGCTGTTCAAGGAAAAATACAGAAAGAGCAACAGAGTCAAGATCAAAAACGGATTTAGGATTTGTGCCCTTCTGGAATGTATATAAGTATGGTTCTTGCATACCCACCCGAGGTGATTGCTTTCCAGACTTTCCGACCTGATGCAGATCCTGAACTCAGTGGATTACAGAGAGTTGTTATCAAAGTCGATAACAACAATTTCCCTAGTATTTTCCCTGAGCGACATGTTAAGTTCTTGGATAAGCTAAAGAATTTTAAAAGGCGAGCATGATCAACAAGGTTCTATAAATGTAAAGAAGGCTCAATCGAGTTCAGGATAGATTGTTTTTTGATTAAATATATTTATTAAATTTTTACACTAACATGCAAAACTGAATAATTCATTCTCATGTGCATTTCTTTTTTTTCATTCCCAGAAACTGTATATGCATACACCACTCATACTTTGCTTTAATAAAGCTCCCGTCTTCTTCTACGTCGTAGTTATGCGTTGTGACATTGGCTTGTCTCATTTGGAAAGCTAATGACTTTTTTGTCCATTCAGGTCACTTTCAGTTTTGCATGTGCTCATTCGGTGGCCAAAGATCTTTATTCTTTTGTGAGCCATAACCTTACATCAATAAAGAGTATTCCAACCATGGGCATCACTGACAGCTTGGAGTCTCTTATGGATACCTATGATGAGTTTGCGGCAGAAGTCCACTGGGATCCTGTACCATTCAACCGATATTCGCTCCCATAGTTCATCACAGCTCTTAGCTCGCTCCGGATACCTAGAGAGCCGCCTATCCAATTCTGCGCACATGTCATCAAGCGACATCTGTAGATCCTCCTGGAGTAGTTTGATGTAAAGTTGTGCGTCCATATTATTGTCAATCTTTGCAATGTATCCAGGTCCGTACCATGAGAAGCATGACCACACTTTAACGTTACCACCTCCAAACTTGACAGTGCCTTACACCGACCTGCGAGTGAGGCGTCTCGGAGTGTCGTCCCAGATCCACTGCACGCCATCAGAGCAGATTCGGCTTGTTTTCGATTCATCTGACCAAATAACCTTTTTCCAATCTTCCAGAGTCCATTCCTTATACTAATTGATAAAATGCAAACGAGCTTTAATATGTCGTCGACGTAAAGCTGGCTTACGTACACGCCTCTTTGCTGTCAATCCTAACTCCTTGAGCCGTCGTCTAACGGTGGTCTCAGAAACAGCCGCTGGTATGAGCTGGTTGGCTCTGATGGTGGCCTCAACTGCAGACTTGAGTGTACCTCGTTTCATGTCCACCTTAAGATACTGTATGATATCTCTAGGTACTTTCCTTGGTCGACCGCCTTTATTGACTGGCATGTACTCCTTATTCTTTGCATAGATCTTGTTGGTCGTCCCTTGCGATATACCGACACTAGCAGCAGCTTCTCTAGTAGACATGCCTTCCATCATTAACCTCCTAGCGTCGTTGACCTTCCTTTGTGGAGTTGGTCTCATATTCTGTGAGGGTATAGTTAAGAGGGAGTTAAGTAAGTGTCCATAAAGTAAAGAGAGAAAAGCCCTTCTTTTACTTGCATTATATGACGTTCAGAAGTTGTCATGGGCAACATTTTAGACCACATGCAAAACTGAAAAAGTGATCTGAATGGACAAAAAAGTCATTAGCTTTCCAAATGAGACAAGCCAATGTCACAACGCATAACTACGACGTAGAAGAAGACGGGAGCTTTATTAAAGCAAAGTATGAGTGGTGTATGCATATACAGTTTCTGGGAATGAAAAAAAGAAATGCACATGGGAATGAATTATTTATTCAGTTTTGCATGTTAGTGTATTACTAGACGGGCGACCCGTGGCTTCGCTCACGGTCGCTCCAGTCTAGCCTTTGTCTCGTGAGGCTCATTTACCCTCGTTGGGGTTCCAACACAAAATTGAACGTTTTTGACACAAAGGTTTCTTTTTTATTTATTAGGTATTAAATATTAAAGTCTTTTTTTTTATTGACATTTTGTTGTTCTTCAAACAAAAGAGTTTCAGTGTCGGCTCGCTTTTTCAATAGATCATATAAACCGGCATGGAAACGAAAATTTTGGGCAGCCCACGGGGCGGTAGCATCGGTGCCTCTCGGCGTGCTTACTGTTTCTTCAAGTGAAAGCGAATGAACAGAGAGTTGGTCTTCCCGATCTGATTGATGGGCGGGGCGTGTAGGAGAGAGCGGTCGAGAGTGAAGGGGAGAGCGAGAGCGAGAGCGAGGAGGATGTGGGGATTTTTGGCGTGGGGAAGATGGCTTTAGGAGGGTTTGGCAACGGGAAGATGGCTGTAAAGGACTCTGGTGGGAGGAAGAAGAATGCGTGGGAGATAGGTTCCTGGGGGGGGGGTCTGGCGGCGTCGCTTGCTTTGATCGTCGTGTTGTTCCTGGTCATCGTCGTCCCAATTAAGCGAACGCTTTTGAGATTGGGGAATTGTATCAAGGCTATCATCATCACATGACTGATTGAAAAAAAAAAAAAAAAAAAAAAAAATTATTACTTTGTCTAGTCTTCACGTACAACCATATGACTATGATAGAGGCTGCCTTTACCTGGGAAGCAGGAGGGGATTGGTCGATTGAGGAGGATGAGGGCGAAAGTATTGTCTAAAAGAACGATACCAAGTTCTCCTTAGTGTTAGTCAATTATAACTCTGATTCTCTGTTGATATCCAAGACTCAAAGTTTAATAGAAACTTACTTCACTGGTATTTGGGGTCAATAGAGGTGCTTTTATAGAGACCGTCTGACGACCTTGAGAAGTCTTGGTGATGGTGGAGGTAGAAGACATAATGTATGAATGTACGTGTGTGAGAGCGAATGAGTGTGTGTGGTGTGTGAATTTTTTTTTTGTGTCATTTTGTAAAACGTGGTAGAATAAATTTAGAGACCAAAGACCTCATGGTACACAATATTCCTCGTGTATGTACAAAAATTATTTGAATCATTTTTGATGCGAATCTTCAGCTGCTTGGGGTCTGAGCAGCGTGAGAGAGCCACATAAAGCTGCCCATGACCATGGCCAAAAACGGGTCGTGGAAGGTATACGCCAACATTCTGAAGAGTCTGCCCCTGAGCCTTGGCGAAGGCAGGTCTTAGGGGAAACTGGCGCCGCTGAAATATGACGGGAGATGATCCATCATCAGTTGCACTGATATTGAGCCGTGGGATGTAGTGGCGTATGCTCTTAAATTTTCCCGCCATTATTTCAGCTTCGATGACTTTGTTCCCAAGTTTACGCACAATGAGGCGCGTACCGTTACAGAGTGTAAATAGTAACAATCAAAGGTGATCTTAGGTGGAATCGAAGGTCAAAGGATACTTTATTTGGCTATAACGTAGTGGACTATTTATACTGATAATTGATAGGGTTGGGGCTTGGTGTCTTGGCACTTGGGCTTGGCCTCTTGGCGCCTGGGGTGCGCGTGATAGTTGAGCCCTCCTCAAAGGTTTGAGTCAGTATTGTATAACACGTTTGCATCCTTCCCGTCAAAAATGAAGGAGATCATAAATCGAAGAAGAAAAGAGAAAAAAAAAAAAAAAATTGATGGAAATAAAGAAAACGAAGAGAAGAGAGGAGAAATAAATAAAATAATAAATAAAAAAAAAAATTGATGTGGTGATGTCTGATTGGTTAAAATTACTGGTCATGCGGTTCATGCAGATCATGTGGATGAGGATGGGTGAATGAGTGGCGATGGAGTTGGTGAGTTCGTGTTGCATTCTTTCCTCATTCCTCTTTGCTTATTTCAAAAAAAGGAAAAAAGTCTCCATGATGTCTTCACGCAAGGCTTCTCATCCAATGCCACCGCGTAAAGGTCGTGCTCCTTCTGGTGGCGTGTTTTCTGAAGTTGTATTGACACAGCGGTCGGCGGTACCAAGCTCCCAGGGTTCTTCAGATGACCCTGACGCCACACAGCCTTATTCTGTGCCTCAGGAGGAAGAGCTAGATACGAGGTTGGAATTGTCTCCACGTCTTTCACCTGTAATCTTGGGGCGGATGCTACCGAAGGAGGAGTATCCTGAGGTGGGCGATTCGCCAACTGTGAGGGAAGCCAGAGATCATGTGGAGTCGAGTACTTCAGCGACGTCGGGAGTGGAGGGGGCTGGGGTCCGTTTGGCTTCTGTAAGTTCGACGAGTGACAATGCACAGTGGGAAGCTGTTGATGGAGAGGATGGTCCTGAGGAGCCGGAGAGGCGACGGAAGAGGAGTCGTCATGAGGGACCGAGGCTGTCGATGATAAGAGAGTGTTCTTCGCTGATAGCGTTTGAGTTTCGTGCATTGCAGACCCAGGATGTGAGTGTAGAAGAGCGAGCACGGGAACGTCGTCGATTGATGGAGGAAATGGTTGTTACCATGCTGGAGTGGGCAGAGAAGGGAGGTAAAAGGAAGAGAGGAAGAGAGGAAAGGAGATAGTAAAAGAAGAAAGGAAGAGAGAAGAGAAGAAAAATAAAGAAAAAAGAAACAGAGAAAAATAATTTTGGTGTTACTGTTGCATTTTTTGAAATTCCTCCAGTGCTTCTTTTGCATTAACTAGTGAGGATCTCCGTTCCCATGTTGCTTCTTCGTCAGGATATCCCTTCCATTTCACGAGCCACTTGGGGGTTCTGCCAAATAGTTTGTAATCCAGAATCTTTTCCACTTCATATTCTTCTTCGCCATCGACTAAATCTGGTGGGGGTCTGGCAGGTGCTCGTTCGCCGAAATTCTCCGGGGATTCGTGATAATGTCGTAATAAATCTGTATTGAAGACAGGGTGTTGTTTCATGTTCGGAGGTAGCTCGAGCTTGTACGCGTTGTCGTTGATCTTCTCTATGATTTTGAATGGTCCAATGAATTTTGGTTCTAACTTTTTGGAGGGTCGGTTTGCGTGAGCTGCGACAGTGATATGCTCCGTACTCAGTAAGACACTATCGCCTACAGTGAACCTGGCGGGTGATCGTGCTTTATCTGCTTGGCGTTTTTGGATGTCCTGAGCTGTCGCTATTGCGTCTTGTGCTTGCGCCAACGCAGAGGCTTGAGTGGAAATGAAGGTAGAGATAGCCGGTACATCTGTTGTTGGTGGTTTCAAGAGGGATGATGGGACAATGGGATGATGACCGTGGTTTAGGAAAAAGGGGGAAAACCCTGTGGAGGGGTTGACGGAGTTGTTGTATGCAAATTCCATCATTGGTAAGAGCAAGTCCCAGTCATTCTGTTTGTACGAGACATAAGATCGTAGCATTTCCTCCAGGGTCCTGTTGGCTCGCTCCG